TCTCTGGGATGAAGCCTACCTGGTCATAGTGTATAATTTTTTTTATGTGTTTCTGGATTCTGTTAGCTAGAATCTTGTTAAGGATCTTTGCATCTGTGTGCATCAAGGATATTGGCCTGTAATTCTCCGTTTTGGTTGGGTCTTTGCCTGGTTTGGGGATGAGTGTGATACTGGCTTCGTAGAATGAGTTTGGGATAGCTCCCTCCTTCTCTGTTTCTCTGAAGAGCTTGAGGAGTATGGGTATTAGTTCTTGTTTAAAGGTCTTATAGAATTCTGCTGTGAATCCATCTAATCCTGGGCTTTTTTTTGTTGGAAGACTTTTGATAGCTTCCTGTATCTCGTTATAGGATATTGGCTTATTTAATTCGTTAACTTCTTCTTTGCTCAGTTTGGGCAACTTGTATTTCTCTAAAAATGCATCCATTTCGGGTTGTTCTGTTTTACAAGTAAGGAAATCAAGATGAATCAAAGTTTCACAAATCTAATCAATTCGAGCTGAGAGCTGGTCTTGATTCTGCTAGCAAGACTGCTTTGAGCTGGTTCATATGTGACCTTCAGAGCTTGAGACAGGGAAAGATGACTACAGGCCTTTTCTCTCTCTCTTTTTTATTTTTTGGTCAGTCCTGGGGCTTGAACTCAGGGCCTGAGTACTCTCCCTGAGTTTCTTTGACTCAAGTATAACACTTGAACTCCAGCGCCACTTCCAGCTTTTTCCTATTAGTTAGAGACAAGAATCTCAAGAACTCCCCTGCTCTCTACCCCCAATCCTCAGATTGCAGCCTCTTGAGTAGCTAGGATCACAGGGTGAGCCATGGGAACTAGCTAGCTTTCTTTCCCTTTGTCCTTCATTGCAGAAGGTGTGGCTCATAGGGGGCTTTGTGAGTGAACCCTTCCTCCTGCAGGTCAGTGAAAGCTTCATTCTACACTGAAAACAAATGTTTATTTTGCAGGGGAACCAACAGAAGCCGAAGCCAGAGCCCGAGACTCCAATGAAGATGGTGACATTAAACGCATCTCCACTAAGGAATGGGCAAAGTCCACAGGATATGATCCAGTGAAACTTTTCACCAAGGTTGGATTCCCCTTCGCTGCTTCCTAGCTCAGACTGAGGAACCCCGCAAATGCTAGATCAGTGTCCTGCTACTGCACTTCCTCCCCAGCTAGGTTTATAGTCCAACTGTGCATGGATCATAGGGTACAAAATTGAATGACGGGTCTTTTTGTAGGTTTGTGCTAGTGACATCCCAGAGCAGGACACAGGTAGTCAGGTCAGAGCAGGCTTGGGAATTTGAGCACCTCTCTTGGTAGGTGGCTGCTGTCTTGTCAGCTTTCCTTCCCTCATTTCCACATACCCACCTTTGCTTCCTGCTATTCTCACCTTGTAGTCTCCTCCCTGCACACATCTTCCCCTTCCAGTTTGATTGGCATATTCTGAACCTCCTGAGTTGCTCTACACCACTGTATACTATCTTCTGCTCGATATTTCTAGAGAACTAGACCACTTTGCAGACACTTAAGATAACTATCACCTGAAACCTTATCACATATTTTTATGTGATGATATCTTAGTCTACAAACTTGTGGTTTTACAATAATTATTGGTGTTTCTCGAGATTTCTGGTATGTCATTTCTGCTTTTTTTTTTTTTTTTTGGAAGAAGAAGGCACATTTCAAATAGTTCACATAGTTGAAAACTCAGAGCACTAAAGAAACTGAGCATGTTGAGAATGTGTGTCTCTTTTTTTGGCCTGTAACCACAAACCCTGAGATACTGCTCTCTTATATTGCTGAGTATAGTGATTGTATTCAGTTCTTGATATGTGTTTGTGGAACTCCTTCATTTATATAGTTCTACTTCATAATGGATTATGGAGTTTGGGAGAGGCTTTTTGTAAGGTAATTCAGGGCAAATCAATAGTTTTTTTTTGGGGGGGGGGGTCCAGTCGTGGGGCCTGAACTCTGAGCCTGGATGCTGTCCCTCAGCTCTTCAGCTCAAGGCTAACGCTCTACCACTTGAGCCACAGCACCACTTCTGGCTTTTTTCTTTTTGCTTATGTGGTGCTGAGGAATGGAACCCAGGGCCTCAGGCATGCAAGGCAAGCGCTCTACCACTGAGCCACCTTCCCAGCTCCCAAATCAGTAGTTTAAAGGTGCCTTACCTCTCTTTCTCTAGGGTACTTTTGCTTTTTTGTGGGTGTTCCTGTTCTCGGGCTTAAACTCAGGTCCTGCGAGCTTTTCCTGAGCGTTTTTGTTCAACACTACTGTTCTACCACTTGAGCCACAGCTCCTCTTTGGGCTTTTTGGTGTTTCGTTGGAAATTGGTGTTCCATTGTCCATCCTTGGCTGACTTTAAGCCTCAATCCACACATCTCCACCTCCCAAGTAGCTAGAAATACAGGAATGAGCCATTGGCACCCAGTTCTACTGCTTTTTTTTTTTTTCCTTCCTGTCATGGAGCTTGAACTCAGGGCCTGGGCACCATCTCTGAACTTTTGCGCTAAAGTCTACTGCTCTACCACTTTGAGCCATAGCTCCATTTCCTGGGTTTAGGTGGTTAATTGGAGATAAAAGAGTTTGGAGAGGGGCTGAGAAGGTGGCTCAGTGGTAGAGTGCTTGCCTTGCATGCATGAGGCCATGGGTTTGATTCCTCAGCACCACATAAGCAGAAAAAGCCGGAAGTGGCACGGTGGCTCAAGTGGTAGAGCTCTAGCCTTGAGCTGAAGAGCTGAGGGACAGCGCCCAGGCCCAGAGTTCAGGCCCACAACCAACAGAAAACAACAACAACAAAAGAGTTTGGCGAACTTTCCTGCCTAGGCTAGCATTTAACCATGGTCCTCAGACATCAGCCTCCTGAGTAGCTAGGATTGCAGGCTTGGTGCATCAGTGTCTAGCCACTTCTACAATAAAAATTGCTGGGCATCAGTGGCTCAGGCCTGTAATCCTACCTGCTCAGGAGACTCAGATTTGAGGAGCAGGGTTCAGGCTAGTCCTGGGAGAAAAGTCTCTGAAACTGTTACCTCTAGTAACCTACTCAGAAAAAAGCTGCAAGTGGGTCTGTGGCTCAAGTGATAGAATGCTAGCCTTGAGCACAAAGGCTGGGAGATACGTGAGTTCAAGCCCCAGGAGCAGCAAAAAAAAAAAAAAAGTTAAAAATTGTTACTTGACTGGCGTGGGAAGTGTCGTTAAATGAGATTTCGTAGTGTAATAGTTATGTCAGTTTAATTTTAAGCATTTTTTTTTCCAGCCTGAGCTTGTAGGGTTCTTGAGATTTATCTTTCCTTTTAAAGCTTTTTAAGGACGATATCCGGTATCTGTTGTCAATGGACAAGCTTTGGCGGAAGAGGAAACCTCCAGTTCCCTTGGACTGGGCGGAAGTACAAAGTCAAGGTAAGGTGTGCATTTTAGTCCTTGAGACACCTAAGCTGGAAATTCCTTCACTTAAAGTCTTCTAGAGCAGAAGAGCCAATCACATTGGGATTGAAAGGTCACAGGAGACTGGAGATGCCCCTTTGGAGCAGTTCCCAACTTGCTGGGCAACCGGGAGCCTACAGGCACTTCTTGGGCACTAACTGTACTGGGCCTGATTTTTAGCATCCTGCTAATTTTTACCCAAGCTCTCAGTAGTCATATGGGGTCCTGCACTTTCCCATCTCAACCTGGACAGTTTCTTCTACACTTACTTTAATAGTACACTTTACACTTATTTTAATAGTAATGTTTTCATGTTTTTTTCCTTACTGGCCAATGACTTTTAATTGCTTTTTTTTTTTAATTTTAGGAGAAGAAACTAATGCCTCAGATCAACAAAATGAACCCCAGTTAGGTCTCAAAGACCAGCAAGTTCTAGATGTAAAGAGCTATGCAAGTCTTTTCTCCAAGAGCATAGAGACCTTAAGAGTGCTTTTAGCAGAGAAGGGGGACGGAGCAGAGCTCATATGGGATAAGGTTTGTTTGAAAGTGTGTGCCAATTACTTAGGTGTTCAGTGTGTCAGTTATCCACACTTGAGTTTAGCAATAACCTGAGACTTCATTTTGTGTTCGAGTTCTGTGGTATAGTTTTTTCTTGTTGTTTTTGGCCAGTTGAGGGGCTTGAACTCTGGGCCTGAGCTCTGTTCTTCAGCTCCTCAGCTCACAGCAAGTGCTCTAACACTTGAACCACAGTGCCACTTCGGTTTTCTGGTGGAGATAAGAGTCTCATGAACTTTCCTGCCTGGGCTAGCTTTGAACCATGACACTCAGATCTCAGCCTCCTGAGTAGCTAGGATTACAGGCGTGAGCCACGTGCACCCAGCTGGGTATAGTTTTGTTCAATTGAGTTTTTGAAAGTTTCAACTGATTTAGGAAAATACTTGAAGCGATCTTAAAAACACACTGGTAGGGCCTGGGAAGTTGGCTCAGTGGTAGAGTGCTTGCATGCATGCTTGCATGAGGCCCTGGGTTCGATTCCTCAGCACCACATACGCAGAAAAAGCCAGATGTAGTGCTATGGCTCAATTGGTAGAGCACTTGCCTGGAGCTGAAGAGCTGAGGGACAGCGCCCAGGCCCAGAGTTCAGGCCCCATGACCAGCAAAACACACACACACACTCTGTCTGTGTCTCTCTCTGTCTCTCTCTCTCTCTCTCTCTCTCTGTCTCTCTCTCTCTCTCTCTCTCTCTCTCTCTCTCTCTCTCTTGGCTTTCCTTTTGGAGATAGTAGCTCATTGACCTGACTGACTGGACCTTCAAAATAACAAACTCGTCCCTGCCCTTTTCCTCCCACATGTTGGGGATTGAGTGTGCAAGTCATATGCTCAACTACGGAAATACACCTAGCCTATGATTGTTCTTGTATTTTTGGTGTTTTGTTTTGGTGCCAGTCCTGGGGCTTGAACTTAGGGCCTGAGTTATTTTTTGTTTTGTTTTGTTTTTTGTCATGAGGCTTGAACCCTGAGCCTGGGCACTGTCTCTGAGCTATTCAGCTCAAGGCGAGCACTTTATCACTTAAGCCATAGCACCACCACTTCCAGTTTTCTGGTGGTTAATTGGAGATAAGAGTCAGGGACTTTTCTTCCTGGGTTGGCTTTGAGCCATGATCCTCAGATCTCAGTCTCCTGAGTAGTTGGCTACTCGGTTTTTTTGCCCAAGGCTGGCTCTACCACTTGAGCCACACAGCTCTACTTCCTGCTTTTTTGATAGTTTAGAGGAGTCTTACACTCTAACCATAGTTAGCTTTGAACTGCTATCCTCAGATCTCAGACTCCTGAGTAACTAGGATTACAGGTATGAGCTATCAGCACCAGTAAAGGAAAGTAATACTTAATGCTACTCTACAGTTAGATGTGTTTTTTGTTTTTTTGGTCGGCCGTGGGGCTTGAACTCTGGGCCTGGGCGCTGTCCCTCAGCTCCTCAGCTCTTCAGCTCAAGGCTAGCGCTCTACCACTTGAGCTACAGCGCCACTTCCGGTTTTCTGGTGGTTTATTGGAGATAGGAGTCTCACGGTCTCTCCTGTCCCGGGCTGGCTTTGAACCGAGATCCTCAGATCTCAGCCTCCTGAGTAGCTAGGATTACAGGTAGCGGGAGCCACCAGCGCCCGGCAGATGTGTTTTATTTTAATTTCTTGTTAATAGTATATTTCTGACCCTAGAAGCTAATGAGCCCCTGTCTCCTACATGTCTTATCACCCCCAGGCTACTTCCTGTAAGTAGCCCTTCCCTGACCGTTTCTCCCTCGAGACCCACTGGTGTGCCCTGACTGTCCGCAGTGTTGTGATCGCATGAAAGTAAGAGGCTGAGTGAGTTTGTGGGAAGCTGCCTAACTGCTTCACGTGCTTGCAGGATGACCCGTCTGCCATGGATTTTGTCACTTCAGCTGCAAACCTCCGGATGCATATTTTCAGCATGAACATGAAAAGCAGATTTGATATAAAATGTAAGTCTTGAACTTCATTCATATCATCAAACCTTAGCGCTTTTTTTTCTTTCTTAACAGCTAAATAATGTTCCATCTTTTCCTCCACCCCCCCCCCCCCCAGCAATGGCCGGGAACATTATTCCTGCCATCGCTACCACCAATGCAGTCATTGCTGGATTGATAGTGTTGGAAGGATTGAAGATTTTATCTGGAAAAATTGATCAGTGTAGAACCGTGAGTATTCTTATAAATTTGTAAGAAGAACATTGCCAGGTAGCTTACACCTTGTAATTGGTGCTGACTGACTATTTAGGAGGCTGAGATCTGAGGATTCTGGTTCAAAGCAAAGAAAGTTGAGATTCTTTATCTCCAGTGAATTACCAAAAAGCCAGAAGTGAAGCTGTGGCTCAAAATGGGTAGAGTGTTGGGCTGGGAAGTTGGCTCAGTGGTAGAGCGCTTGCCTTGCATGCCTGAGGCCCTGGGTTCAATTCCTCAACACCACATAAGCAGAAAAAAAAGCCGGAAGTGGCACTGTGGCTCAAGTGGTAGAGCGCTAGCCTTGAGCTGAAGAGCTGAGGGACAGCGCCCAGGCCCAGAGTTGAGGCCCCACGACCGGACCCCAAAAAAAAAAATGGGTAGAGTGTTAGCTTTGGGAAAAAGCTCAAGGACATATTAAGACCCAGAACTGATCAGAAATATATTAAAAATGAAAACATACTCTATAGATTTTTTTTCTTAACTAAAAGTGTGAAAAATGAAAAAAAAAAAGTTGCACTTACCTCACGCGTTTAAGAAAGCACATTTGCTGTTTTAGTTTTCAGGTAGGATCTTACCTTTTGTGGTGGGAGGCATCTCATACCTACTTCAGACTACATTATCCTGTCTACTACTTCCATATCGATGGTGCTCACAGCCTGTGCCACCACACCTAGCATCCATGTATTATCTTTCTTATGGGTTGCTGAATTATCTCTGCCTTTCTGTTTTTTGTTTTTTGCTGGTTTGGTTAACAAAGTTTGCTGAACTTTAACAAGATTAAACACAAATAGAAGAAATGCCAGGAGACCACAGGAAGTTGAGATCAAATCTTCATTTTGTGTCTCCAGTATAACAGGGGTTCTGTAGATTTCCCCAAGCTTAAATAAATAAGTGTGTCAGTAAGTCTACCCAGACAGTAAAACCCTGCACAGCTTGTCCCTACAAAGAGTACTGTCAGCTGAGAGCCAGTACTTCCGCTCTGCCCGCCACCGATGAATATAAATATTATTGTAGTTACCACCAGAAGCTTTGGAAAGAAAGTCCCTTTGGTGGCTGACATCTATGCGAGCATTATCATTAATTGCCAGAGTGAGTATTGGTCTTGTGGAGAGGCTGGCTGGATGTTGAGCATGAACACAGACGGCCCCAGAAACTGTATGAAGGAAGAAGGCATGCACAGAGGAGGAGAGGCTTATGGGAGCCCAGCCTTGTCCTTGGAGCTTACTGAAAAAGAAGGTTGGAAAACCAGACTCTGAAAAAGATCATGATCTTTGCCATCTAGAGGGGACTGTTGGTGTCACTTTTACCTGGGTATATATAAGTGACAAGATTTCAGATTGGTATACTGTGATTGTGAACACTTATTTGTGATGCTGATTTTTTTTTTCCACCTGAAGATTTTTTTGAATAAGCAACCAAACCCAAGGAAGAAGCTCCTGGTGCCTTGTGCGCTGGACCCACCGAATCCTAATTGTTACGTGTGTGCCAGCAAGCCCGAGGTGACGGTCCGCCTCAATGTCCACAAAGTGACCGTCCTCACCTTACAGGACAAGGTGGGTGCCAGGGCCACCACGGCTCATTCCTTCACAGAGCCGTAGGGCCTGCATTGACGTCCCCCGGCGTGCATCTTCTCACTGGCTTGTCTGGTTCTCTTTCTGTCTTTCCTGCTTGAGAAAGACATGAGTGTATCTGTGTGGAAGAGGTTCCACAGGGGTGAGTGACACAATGTCCAGGCATAGGTTCTGCTCTTGTTTCCTAAGTAGGGGGTCAATTGGGTAGTATTGATACGTTCAGGATGTCCTTAAATGACCCTACTGGTACAGTGAGCATTCACTCTTCGGGTGGCAATGTCTCCTTACTAGTAAAGTGCAAGTACAGTTGGTAGCTTTGTATTAAAGGGTTAGGGCACCACTGGCTCGTGCCTATAATCCTAGCTAATCAGGAGGCTGAGATCTGAGGATCACAGTTCAAAGCCAGCCTGGGCAGGAAAGTATGAGACTCTTTTCTCCAATGAACCACCAGAAAACCAGAAGTGGCGCTGTTGTCTCAAATGGTAGAGTCCTCTCCTTGAGCTGAAGAGCTGAGGGACAGCGCCCAGGCCCAGAATTCAAGCCCCATGATCCCCCAAAAGGGGTGGGGGCATGGGTAACTTGGAGTAGGTCAGGTATTGAGTTTTTGTTTCGGTTGGTCATGGGGCTTGAACTCTGGGCTTGGGCGCTGTCCCTGCACTCTGCAGCTCAAGGTGAGCGCTTTACCACTTGAGCCATAGCGCCACTTGCGGTTTTCTGGTGGTTTATTGGAGATAAGAGTCTCACGGACTTTCCTGCCTGGGCTGGCTTTGAACCATGATCCTCAGATCTCAGCCTCCAGAGTAGCTAGGATTACAGGCATGAGCCACTAGCGCCCGACTGAGTACGTTTCTTTTTGAACAGTGTCACCCCTTCCTTTTTCTCCCAGTGAAGGGAGAAAGCTGGGAAGCTTGTTATGTCCCAATTTCCAAGTCACTGAGGTTATTCCTCTAATTGTCACAAATGTTCCAAGATGGGGGAATGGGCCCCTCGATAGTGACTGGCCTTTCTTCCAGAAGTGGCTGTGCAGGGCACACTGACTCGCACTCACAGCTTAGTCACAGAAGCAGCAGGTTTGGGCAGGCTAACACCAGAGTGTGGATATCCCACTCACTTTCCCAGGTAACGATCACTTTGACTTTACAGCTAACATCTCTCAGGACTCCTCCTCGGTAGTGGGTCTGTGGAAAGATCCTGTTTTTGAGGAGCAGGTGGGAGTTGACAGAATTGATAAATACATGTTGGGATTTAAAAACAGACAGCAATGGGGAGGGATGGGATCAATCTGAGTTCTAAATGCATCTTCCATCCCAGAGCTGGTATAGACTGAGAGTAAGTGGTCTAGTGTGTGGCCCTATTCTGATTCTGTAAGGAAAATAAGTAACAAGCCATTAAGGACTACGGGATCCCTTGTTCAATCCGATTTGCCCCTGTGGTCAAGTGTGAGGATGGAAGGAAGTGAAATCCCCCAGCAATCTTAAAGAAATAACTCGGTTCCTTTCCTTGAGCAAAGGGGAAATTGTAACCTTTACAGAAAATAATTCTTTTGCTTGTTTTTTGCGGACTTTAAATTGCCTCTATTAATACTGCCATATTTTCCCCTTGTAGATCGTGAAAGAAAAATTTGCTATGGTGGCACCAGATGTCCAAATTGAAGATGGCAAAGGAACGATCTTGATATCTTCAGAAGAGGGGGAGACTGAAGGTATGCTGGCCTTCATTTACCCTCTGACTCAGATGGGCTGTGGGTCTATGCCTCCATTGTCTGCGTAGTGCTTGGTATCACAGGGATGGGTTGGTGTTGGTCTGGGTTGTCCTCTGCCTGGCTCACAATGTCTTATACAGATCCAAAAGCCATGGGTTCAGTCCCCCTTGGGTCACAATGTCTTATGCAGATCCAAAAGCCATGGTTCAGTCCCCCTTGCCAGACCAACAGAACATTCAAATAGGTGATCCTTTTGTGAGTGTGAGTGCATTTGGTAAAAGCTTCTGTTGAAGTTTCTTTACCTTCTTTTTTTTTTGGGGGGGGGGTGGAGTGGTCCAGTTGTGGGGCCTGAACTCGGCCTGGACGCTGTCCCTCAGCTCTTCAGCTCAAGGCTAGCACTCTACCACTTGAGCCACAGCACCACTTCCAGTTTTTTTCTTTTTGCTTATGTGGTGCTGAGGAATCGAACCCCAGGGCTTCATGCATGCAAGGCAAGCACTCTATCACTGAGCCACCTTCCCAGCCCCTCTTTACCTTTAGATGATACTAGTCAGTCTGATCAGACTGTTTTCTCCTGTAGCCATGCAATGGTGGCTCATACCTGTCATTCTAGTTACTCGGGAGACAGAGATCTAAGGGTCACAATTTGATGCCAGCCCAGCCAGGAAAGTCTGTGAGACTTGTCTCCAGTAAACTACTAGAAAACTAGAAGTGGAGCTGTGGCTCAAGTGGTAAAGTGCTAGCTTTGAGCCAAAGAGCTCAGGGATAGCACCTGGGCCCTGACTTCAAGTCTTACGACCAACCAAAAAAAAAAAAAGTTGCCTCCTGTGCTCCAAGCTCCCAAGTTGGGCTCTGCACATCCAGGTTTTGCCAGTGTGCTATTATTACTTGTGCAGGTTGGAGGGTCCACTTTAATTTGCCCATGACCTATGTGCTCAGTGGTGGTTTATCCACTGTTCTTCCCCAGATCCTGATGAGGATTTGGAGGTTCAACTTTGTCTTGTCTTTGTCTCCCTCCCTCTCTGTGCTGGGAATCAAACCTGGAGCCTCCCACATGCTAGCCAGCCACTCTTCTACCACTGAGCTGCAACCCTACCCTGCCCTTGATGAATCTCAGACTTAGTGTCAGGACTCTTGTTTGGTGGTAGCTGTTGTTCAGTAATGGTTGGGAATATTAGGTCACATGTAACTGAAGGTCATCTATTGACTGAGTGCTAGTTTATGCAAGCACTGTTAAGACAGCTGTCTTTACCCCAGAGTAAAACAGTTAAGGGTTTGTGTCTGATACCCTCACCCCTTGGTTTTCATCAGCTCTTTTGAAATTTAATGTAAAAAATGGAAACGGATCAAGAATCTCTTGAGCTTTCATGAGGATATCCTCCATGGGATACCTGAGGCTTCAACTAGAGTTGATTGTCTCACCATTCTGGAAGCTGCAAGTCAAGTATGAGAGATGCTGGAGGTCAGCTTTCTCCCGAGGCCTTTGTGCAGTCCTGCTGTGTTCACACGCACGGCCTTCCCCACGGGGACACACATTCCCCCCCCACACACACACACACCCTCCGGGACATGTATCCCCAGTGTCTCTTGTGAGTTGGATGAAAGCCTGCCCTTAAGGGCTCATTTTTACTCACCCCCTTAGGATGCAGATCTCCAAATAAACAGGCACATCTCACCTACCAGGGGTTTAGGATTCAAAATAAGAATTTTGGAGGGACACAATTTAGCCCTAACAGTGGCTTTTTTTTTTTTTTTTTGGTCAGTCGTGGGGCCTGAGCACTGTCCCTCAGCTCTTCAACTCAAGGCTAGCGCTCTACCACTTGAGCTACAGCGTCACTTCCGGTTTTCTGGTGGTTTATTAGAGATAAGAATTCCACAGACTTTGCTGCCCGGGCTGGCTTTGAACCTCAATCCTCAGATCTCAGCCGCCTCCTGAGTAGCTAGGATTACAGGCGTGAGCCACCAGCGCCCAGCTTTTTTAATGGTCACAGTGGCTTTTTTAAATGGCCACACCTGGACTAGGCACACATAACTGAAATATTCACGTTCTTTCTGCATTTCCTAGCTAATAACCACAAAAAGCTGTCCGAATTTGGAATTCGAAATGGCAGCCGCCTTCAAGCAGACGACTTCCTCCAGGACTACACATTGTTCATCAACATCCTGCACAGGTGGGAGCTTGTGGCTGGGGTCCAAGTGCAGTTAGGATGAGGTGGAGGAAGGCCGTTTTCCTCCCCTCGGCGCCACTGTTGGTGGGAGACTACAGCACTGGGTTCCTTAAAGGTAGACCCAGAGGTGGGGCCCCAGTCAGAGTCATACCCGACTTCACAGACCACAAGACAGTTCTCTGCACCAGACTGCAGAATATTCACATAACATATGACACGGCATGGAAAGGTTCTTTGCCCGTGTGTTGATGTCATGAAAGACCAGCACTGGTCCTGGTGTGTCATCTTTGTGGCTAGGTGGCGTTTGTGTGGTTGTTCAGGGAGTATTCCATATTGTACCTGGTTTGTAAAAGGCAAAAAGTGACATGAAAGACTGGACGAGGGTTCAGATCTTGAGGCTGGGACATGGGGTCGCTGGCAGTGGAAGAACGGACATCACAGTACAGAAGAGGAGACCAAGTAGGTGGGGGATTATCATGCTTTTTCACTCTCTGGGAACAGCTCCCCTTAAGACATGCACCTATTTTGTTTGACTTTGGTGCGTGTTCTTGGGAACTCATGTCCAGAAGCCACATCTCCAGCCCCTCGAGCGCCAGACCGCTGTGGCCATGCGAGGTGATAGGGCACAGTGCTGGGTATTCGGGCACAGGCTGAGACATGACACGGGTGCACAGCTTGGCACTCAGTGTTCGCTGTTTGAATTAGACCTTTGGATGGTCACCAAAATTGATGTGTGTGTGGTGCGTGCTGCACCAGCAGTGTGGTATTGAGTGGGTTCTGGTTTACGGTGTGGCTCTCTTGCAGCGAAGACCTAGGAAAGGATGTTGACTTTGAAGTTGTGGGTGATGCCCCAGAAAAAGTGGGCCCCAAGCCAGCCGAAGATGCTGCCAAGAGCATCACCAATGGCAGCGACGATGGCGCCCAGCCCTCTACCTCCACAGGTGAGCCATGGTGTCAGCCCCCCACCTTGCTGGTAACATGCAAGACCCAAAACATGGAGGGGGTCTCGGGGTTAGTGCTGACTTTGTGATGGAGCTTTGACTTAGGGAATGCTGAGGACATTTTACATGGGGAGACAAACCTTTGTGTTCTTCCTCTCTCCAAATGGCAATGGCCTGTGAGTGATTTCTGTATGTGGGATAGGCACTCCAAGTCAGTACATCTGCACGTCGTGCGTGGGGGGGGGTATGTTGACTGGCACGGGGGTGTGCTGCCCAGCGCTCCTTGTAACACGTTTGCTTCTGTGTTCCTGAGCATCTTGGGAATGCTGGGAAAGTGTGGCCCTCTAAATAAGTCATAGCTGTCCTATAAGAAAGTTCCTCAGGTGCCAGGCGTTGGTGGCTCATGCCTATAATCCTAGCTACTGAGGAGGCTGAGATCTGAGTATCACAGTTAGAAGTTAGCCCAGGCAGGAAAGTCCATGAGACTCATCTCCAGTGTACCACCACTAGAAAACCAGAAGTGGCTCTGTGGCTCAAAGTGGTAGAGTGCTAGCTTTGAGCATAAAAGCTCATGTCCAGCTCCCAGGCCCTAAATTCTGAAGCCAAGACTGACCAAAAAAAGGTTTTGAGAAGTCATAATGGAAGACATTCGCTGCTCCCACACTGATAAGACGTTTCCAGCGCCATAGCGGTAAGGTAGGCAGCTCTGCTCTTTTGGTTGAAGCAAACAGGCAGATAAAAACCACCCCTGCCATCAGGTTAGGAGGAAAAACTTGGAGCCCTCCAACTTGAACCCTGTTTTCATCATCCACTACTGTAGGACTTGGGAAGTCAGTCTCTGTGTCTCAGTATCTCTTTCTGGAAAGCAGATACTAACGTCATCTTTTTTATAGGGTTGTTGTGATGATTAAATGAGTTGTTGTGTGCACAGTGCTCGGCTTGTAAGTGCTGCTGTTGCTGTTGTCCCTGTGGCTGCAGTGGGGTGTGCCCGCCTGACAGGAGAGGGTAGAGGAGACTCAGGGAAGCGCACAAGCGCCTCTGACAACCACTCCTTGTTGAGACAGCAGAGGTGAATGCCTCCCTCCCGCCCCCTCCCCAAACAGCGGAGAGGTGTAGAGGATGGGCACGTGGCCCAGGAGCAGCCCTTGTTTGTTATGGTGTCCTCCTGCTCAGCTGGCACTCTACCACTTGAGCCACACCACTTCCAGCTTTTTGCTGGTCTCAAGATTGGTTTGGCCTAGCTGACTTCAAATGTCAGTCCTCAGATCTGAGCCTTCTTGAGTAACTAGCTTTACAGGCACGAGGCACCAGCACCGAGCCCAAGCTAGCGCTCCATCCAGTGAAGTCCTGGCGGGGTCCTGTTCACCATTTCCCCCCTTTTTATTCTGCCATAAGCACAAGAGCAAGATGATGTGCTCATTGTTGATTCCGACGAGGAAGGTTCTTCCAATAACACCGGCACTGGTGAGGAGAGAACCCGCAAGCGGAAGCTGGATGAGGAGAAAGTGTGCACAAAGAGGTCCCGGGTAGAGACAGCGGAAGAGCTGGATGATGTCATCGCCTTAGACTGAGCAGTTGCCTTCCTACGTTCATCTGGGCACAGCCAGGTGGGTCGCTTCGTCCTCTGTTGCAAAGGGGAAACATCAACTTGCAGCAACATTCTGCTCCCTTTGAAAGCCTTCGTTTTGCTAGAACTTTAGAAACCTTGCAGTATGCTCTATGGAAAGTAGGAATATAGTTTCAAAGTCATTGGAACAGAACCGCACAGTGCATGTCGCCTTTGTACTGTAAATACCCTTAGGTATCATGTAACAGGTTAAAAATATTGTGGCTTAGTCAAGTTGATACCTGGTTATAAATATTATGCTTTTATTTTTGGCTAGAAGAAGACTTATTTTTAGCCTAGATATGTGATCATTTTCATACTCTTAACCTGATACAGCTTCGGAAGAAGTATTAAGTGCTATGCATTGACACTTGTTTTTAAATGTTAACTGGCACTCTGTATATTGGTGTAAAACAATGTTCATTTGCTCAGATTTTCAGTTTGTACTGCCTAGTATGTCTGCCAGGAGCCAGTTTTTGTGTATCGTTAACAGTTTCAGGTTATTTATATTTGATGTTTTGTAAAACTCAAATAACAAATATTCTGTACTTATGGACCAAATAAATGGTATCTGCATACTTGTTACCCAGGCCTGCTCGCTCCTGTTTCTGCGACCTGTCTGACTGCAGGGCGGGGCTGTGACTAGCACTGGCCTGCCTCTTTCTGCACAAGACCAAAGGTTCGAACACCAGCACCACAAAACCAACTGCGAACGGGGGTGAGGTGGAAACATCTCCACTGTTGTCATAGATGACTCCTTTTTCAAAAGCAAATCCCTTAATAAACATTGCAGTACTTCTCTGCTCATTCACGTAATCTTTGTAACTTGGGGAGTGCGGCTTGGTCAGCAAAGCAGGCCTGACTGCTCGTAGTGGGTCCTGCCGGGGTAGACAGTGTGCCAGCAGGTCTCCAGAGGCGGGGACATGTCAGGGCTGCTAGCTTCTAGCCTCATAGGGTTTTCCTGCATCGTCCCAAAGATTGAGCTCCATGCGTGGCAAGTTCAGCCGCTCTGGAGACAACTGTCCAGGCAGAGATCACACTGACAGAGCTGCACGAAGGTGCCCCAGGACCATTCTCCACATTAGACCGGGGGTGGTGGGGGGGGGGAAGGAGGGGAATGCTTCATGAGGAGTTGATAGCAACAGCCAAGACAGGAGACAGATGCACAGTGTGTGATATTCTATAACAGATCTGGCTGGGCTGCCATTTCTATGAAGGGGAGGAGATTCTAGATTAAGAGAAAAATTGAAGAGCTAAAACAGGGCTGAGTTGGCCTAGCATGCACAGAAGAAAACCTAACACCAACAGTACTCTAGCTCGCTTCAACAAAGGAGAGATAGGAACAGAAGCAATACATTTACTTTCTTAGATATAATGACAATACTGAGGACATGGCTTCATGACATAGCATTTGGGGATAGAGGCTTAGGTTCAGGAGTACTTAGCACTAAACACCTCACCTACCTGCCTCCAACTTTTAATTTCTAACATACAGGGGCAAATGAGTATAATCAACATCTGTTGGGTTTACACAGTGTATATACATGGTTCATTCTTCTGGTATCCAGCTTTGAAAACCGTTTTCCATTTAATATAACCTACGACCAAAGTCACTCATTGCTGGGCACAGATGGCTCAGGCCTGTCATCCTAGCTACTCAGTAGGCTGAGATCTGAGGATCATGGTTCATAGCCTCAGGCAGCAAAGTCAGTGAGACTCAGCTCCAGTGTACCACCAAAACATGGGAAATGGAGGCATGGCTCAAGTGATAGAGCCTTGAGTGAAAAAGACAAATGAGCGGGCAGCCCTGAGTTCAAGTGCCAAAAAAGGAAGTTACTCAGGATTATGAACGGTTCCTCACCCGTGACGCGATGGCTCCCTGTTTGTCTAAACCTCCAGAGAACTCGGAGCTTACGTGTTCTCATTGAGGTTACCAGTGCACTCAGAAGCTGCCTGGGTATTTGGTTCATGTCCTATGAGTTTAGATAACCAATCTGTGGCGTATATGTTTAAACGTGACTTTGTTCCATGGCCAAGGAGCCTGAGCAGATTTAAGCCACTTCACTTGCTTTCTTGTAACATCCGTATAGATAACAGATATAGATGGAGATATAGTTGTGTACTTTTTTTTTTTTTTTTTTTTTGCCAGTCGTGGGCCCGAACTCTGGGCCTGGGCACTGTCCCTCAGCTCTTCAGCTTAAGGCTAGTGCTCTACCATTTGAGCCACAGCACCACTTCCAGCTTTTTTCTGCTTATGTGGTGCTGAGGAATCGAACCCAGGGCCTCATGCATGCAAGGCAAGCACTCTACCACTGAGCCACCTTCCCAGCCCCAGTTGTGTACTTTTTTTGGTCGTCGTGGGACCTGAACTCGGCCTGGGCACTGTCCTCAGCTCTTCAGCTCAAAGCTAGAGCTCTACTACTTGAGCCACAGCGACACTTCTGGCTTTTTCTGCTTATGTGGTGCTGAGGAGTCGAACCCAGGGCCTCATGCATGCAAGACAATGCCACTGAGCCACCTTCCCAACCCCACATCCATAAAAATATTTAAAATTTTGTTTTTTGGGTTTTTTTTTTGTCAGTTGTGGGGCTTGAATTCTGGGCCTGGGCGCTGTTCCTCAGCTCTTCAGCTCAAGGTGAGCGCTCTACCACTTGAGCCACAGTGCCACTTCCAGCTTTTTCTGCTTATGTGGTGCTGAGGATTTGAACCCAGGGCCTCATGCATGCAAGGCAAGCACTCTACCACTGAGCCACCTTCCCAGCACCAAAAGTATTTAAAGTTTTGAAATAAACCAAACATGGGCTGAGAAGGTGGCTGAGTGGTAGAGTGCTTGCCTAGTGTGCTTGAAGCCCTGGGTTCAATTCCCCATTACCACATAAACAGAAAAAGCTACAAGTAACACTGCAGCTCAAGTCATAGAGTGCTAGCCTTGAGCAAAAGGACAGTGCCTAGGCCCTGAGTTCCAGTCCCAAGACTGGCAAAAAAATATATATAAATAAAAAGATGAGACTCATAATAAAAAACAGAAGAAATGAATGTCTACATGTTTCTCATGGTTGTAATTTGCAAATATGGAAGGCATCCCCTGTGTATTTTATTTGCTGATGGTTGATTGAGACGTTCTCCACAGGTACCTCGTGCTGACCTCTCCCACATGATCCTCCTACCTCAGCCTCCTTACTGGTTAGGATTACAGGCATTAGCCACCATGACTGGCTGTTTGCATCTGAAGGCCGTTTTTCTTTAGTCTAAAATCTTAACTGCTTTGAGAGGGGATATATTTAGAGAGGCATTTTTATAAATACCTCCAAACTGGGAATACTTTTATTTGCATTCAACACGGGATGAACTTTTTCCCCCTCTGTATCCAATTCAAAACAAATCCCAGTTTAAAAAATCTTTAAGATGCTTTATTCTCCAAAACAAACCTAACTTTTTCAAGAAGTTCACCACCGAACACAAAACCCGAAGTGCCACAATGGCTCAAGACAAGCAGCTGGTCCCAGCTGGGCCTAAGCTGGGTGCCAGTGGAGGCTGAGATCTG